GCTGGCAGGGCCCCCGATCCCCCGTGTCAAAGGGTGCCCACTTCTGGCCATGTTTGGAAATCCTGTAGCGGGATCTGGAGGTGTGCTCACCCTTTGCGTGGTAGCAGGTCTTTCTCGAATCCACCCCCAGGATCCTGCTCTAGGAGGTCCCTGGTCCATGCGGACCGCCAGGATGCCCTTGGACACAGAACCGTCGCTTTCCCTTGCTTTGACTTTTCGGTGCTCTTTATATGTCTTTGGTGCAAATGCCACACCAGCGGGGGTCAAATCCGTGGCCTGGCCCAGGAGTGTTGCCCCGTCCCGTGCTGTCAAGCATGGCTGGGACTACGTCTGCAAAGGACAGCACCCCAGCACATGCAGCGTAAAGCTGGAGACAAAGTTGACACGCAAGACCTGGTCCAATGTTTCACCTCGCCGATTGCGGGCGCCTTACTGATCGCAGGCCCTGTCGTGCCTGTTGGCACCTCCGTGCCAGCGGCTGTAATTTCTTCAGCTGGTCCATCTGCCGCAGCTGCGGGACCTGGCAGCACTGCGCCGTTGCTTTCGCAACCACGTGCCTTGGCCGCTGCTCCATTGCCCTCCGAAGGTGACGGACTCGTCGGCGACGCTTCGGGCTGCGGCCTTTACTGTGATTTTGAAGCTAACGAGGAAGCCGCCTTGTTCCTTGCAGCCGGCCCGTCTGCTGCCGACGATTTTGTCAGCTCTGTTGCGCAGGCAGCTGGCTCCCGAGGCTCGGCACCGCTCGATGTTTTGCTGCCTCGCCCGCCTAGCACTAGTCCGTTACCTGCGGATGACGGGCTTGTGGGCTGCGGGTTGGGCAGCGGTCTCTCGTTAAGTTTTGAAGCTGCCCCGCCGTCTGCCGACGGCGATGTTGGCCGCGCCGCGGGCGCGCAGTGCTCCGTCGGCGCAGCTCCTACCGATGCCCCGCCGCCCAGCGCGCCAAGCATCGCTCCATTAACCACGTCGGGTGACGGACTTGTGGGCCGTGCCTTGGGCTGCGGCCTGTCTGCAAGCTTTGAAAACGAGGAGGCTGCTCGGCGTCTTGTCCACCGTGCCGCTGAGGCGTCGCACCGTCCGTCCAGCGCCTTTCCGAGGGAGGTGATGCGCCAGGTGCGAGATGCTTTCGCGGTCCAGGGTGACGAGGCCCCTCTGCTGCCAATCCCCCGTCCTCTGCACGAGCCTGGCGATTCCGACGAGGTTCGGCTTTAACTCGCGAGTTCCTCCCTCCGTAGCTGGCGAAGTCATCGGGCATGACCCGATTTGGAGGCGAGAGCGTAGAGCTCAAAAACAATTCCCCTCCTCCTCCTCCCACTCCTCCTCCTCCTCCTCCTCCCTCCTCCCCCTCCTCCTCCTCCCCCCCTCTCGCCCTCCCGTCCTCGGGTCGCCTGCGGCCCCGTGGGCAACCGCCCTGCTCCTCGCCCCATCGGGGCCCTGGGCGCCCCGCCCGGGAGCGGCCGCGCTCTTTCTCGCTCTCGAGGGCGCCCTCCGCGGACTTGCCCGGCGAGGCGCCGCCGATTCCAAGTCACTGGTTCCCTCCTCTTATTCCCTCCCTCCTCCCTCCTCCTTCCTCCTTTATTTCTTCGTCTACCTCCTCGTATTCATCATCATCATCATCATCAGCATCAGCGTCATCATCAGCGTCAGCATCATCATCGTCATCATCATCGTCATCGTCATCATCATCATCATCATCAGTATCATCATCAGTATCAGTTCCATCAGCATCTTCATCATAATCATCATCATCCTCATCATCATCATTACCCTCATCGTCATCATCATTCGCATCATCATCATTATCCCTCTGTCGGTCCTCCTCCGCGTAGGTAGCGTCAGAGCCTGGATGGATCGCCGCTCGGACGTGCGTTTCGCCCACACCGCGCATTGCAACGGTGACAGCTGCCTGCAAGATGGACGCTTGCCAGCATCTCGGCGAAGGGCACCGGCAGCATTCTTTATCCCGCGTCGTACACGCGGCCCTATTCAGTCGCTCCAGATGTCCCAGCGCTGGCGCCTCGAAAGAAACGCGTAGCTCGAAAATTAGAATGGCGTGGGAGGGGCGAGACAACTCGCGGTTAACTTCAGCATCGCGCAAGTTTCGCTACGATAGGGAAACACGTGCAAACACCAGTGAGACTGTCGCATGTTGCTTGATATTTCGATATGTTGTATGTTATGCCATTTCTCTGTCCGTGTGTTGGAACAGAGAAAGCCCACTGGGGAAAGCTGGAACGAAATAGCCGTTGTGGGCCAATCCCTGCGAGGGGTGCCGCGGGGACGAGCGGAAGCGACGTGACAGGACCGACTGTACTTCTTTTGTTCGCGTTCCTCAATATTCCAGAGCCAAATTGTTCCACTCACCGCGGATTCCTCCTCGTCGACTTCGTCGTCGTCGCCGTCGCCGCCCATCGGTCCCCGGCGAGTGCGGCTGCTGTTTCTCCTGCCCCCTCTGCCTCTTCCGTAGACGCGTTAACGGTGTGTTAGCTCACGGCGATATAGGAAAACCAAGTGTAGGAAGGCGTGGTCCGTGGCCAAGCCAATTGTGGGACCACGTGGTAGGCGTTTCCCTGCAGCTCGCTGTGTCGCTTTCGTTCGACACATTCGCACAGGTTGTTCTGCGTGAGTTCGGCGTCAAAATATTTGATTCCCAACGGCACCGTGAACCGAGCACGCCGTCGGCGCAGCCTCGGCTCCCGCTCTCATTTTACCCCGGCCCTCCCGCCGCGAGGTGGCGATCCGGGCCGCCCCAGGGCTGGGCGGGGCCCCAGGCGGGCGCCCGCCGTCTCGCGGTGGTTCGGGGGGGGAGCGGGGAGGGGGCGGCAGATGGGGGGCGGGGGAGGAGAGGGAGGAGTTGGACAGGAAAGGGTGGGAGGTGGGAGGATGCGGATGGGGCGGGGAGAGGAGGAGGATGAGAGGGCAGAAGTAGGAGGAGGAGGATGAGGAGGAGGAGCAGGGCGAGGGTTGCGTGCAGGAGTCGGAGCAGCAGGAGCAGCGCTGCAGGAGAGGGGGGGGCGCGCGCAGGAGGAGAGCGAGGAGCAGCGGCAGCACCCACGGCAGCAGCAGAGGGGCGCCTGCCTTCCGCACCCCTGGCCTCCGCGGCGTCCTGCTCCTCTCGTGGATCCCCTGCCTCCCATTCCCCTCTGGCCAGGCCATCCTCCGCCTCGGGAGAGAGACGAGCAGGGCTCCCAGGGGCGCGCAGGCCAGCGGAGGGCGGCGAGCAGGGTTCGTGGGGACGGCGGCTCGGGAGAGGCGAGCAGGGCTGCCAGGGGCGCGCAGGCCAGCGGAGGGCGGCGAGCAGGGCTCCCAGGGGCAGGCAGGCCAGCGGAGGCGGGGTGCAGGGATGGTGGGGACGGCGGCAAGCAGAGGAGGGGAGGAGAGCAGGGTGCTACGGCGGGGGGCGGCGGGCAGGTGACGAGAGCGATGAGGAATGGAGGGGGGAGGAGGAGGGAGCGGAGTGGTGCGCGAGAGGAAGGGGGTAGACGGGTGGGGAGGATGGCAGGAGGAGGGTGGTGGGGACGAGGAGGTGGGAGGATGGGCCATCGGCGACGAGGGGGATTCAACGGGGGGGAAGAGACACATTGGGGGAATGGCTTGAAAGGAGATATGGCTCAAGGGAAGGGGAGTGGAGGGGCAAGGCGCGTATCCCCCCTGTGGGTTCCTCCCGATGTTCCCTTCCGTGTGTGTGTGTGTGTGTGTGTGTGTGTGTGTGTGTGTGTGTGTGTGTGTGTGGGGTAACCTCCTGGAGGAGGGAGGAGGCCGAGGAGGAGATGAGAGGGCGGACGAGACTGAGGATGAGGAGGAGGAGCAGCGTAAACCCAAGACGCAACAAAGACGTTTGACACACCCTCCTTCCAAGCTCCCTCATAGGCCCCATCCAATGTTCACTTCCACTGAAGAAATTGCCCAGTTGGGAGACAACCGTGTAAGTATCCTGAAGCGTGCTAAAACGCAATTCTCAGCATTTACACGTCACGGGTCAACCTGATTGTTGCGTCTTTGTTATCCTGAATCTTGCCAGAGCACCACTCCTCGGACGTGCACACCACGAATCAACGCAACCTTTGCGCCCTGACAGCCCTGTATCACTCGAAAGCATGATTTCTGGAAGTGAACCATGCGAATCCGCGAATCTCTTGCGATTCGTTTTATGATAATGTGCACGGCGCTGAGGCGAGAGCACATTTGGAACAGGAGCCGCCTTCAGTCCTTGAAACTCGTGCAGAGGTTTGGAAGGGATATGCGTGGCGCGAGAGCCAACTTTGCAACAAAAAAACGGCCCGCCCTCAGTCCGTGAAGCTCTTCCAAGCTTGTTAGACGAATGTGCGCAGCGCTGAGGCGAGAACCACATTCTGAAAACAACCTGCCTCCAATCCGTGAAATTCTTGCAACTTTAAAACGAATATTCGCGGACCTAAATCGAGAGCCACATTTTGAACATCACCCGCCTTCCATCTGCGAAAGTGTTGTCAGCTTCTCAGCTTCAGGCTCATACATGATGAGGAAGTCTCAGGCGGAACGCCAGGCCCGTCCGTCCGACCAGCCTCGGGGTGCGACAGGGAGGAGTTATTCACGAGGAAAGGAATTGGAGGGGGAGCAGGAGGAGGAGGAGGAGGAGGAGGAGGAGGAGCAGGAGGGAGAGGCGGAGGAGGAGAAGAAGGGTGAGGAGGGGGAGGAGGCGGAGGAGGATGCGGAGACGAGGAGGAGGAGGAGGAGGAGGAGGAGGAGGAGGAGGAGATGGGGAAGGAGACAGACAGAAAGAGACGGAGAAGCGAGGATAGGGCAGAATGTAGCGGAGGATGAGGAGGAGCGGGGGAAGAGGTGGAGGAGGAGAACGGGAAGGTGAAGGAATGGAGAGTAAGAGAGGAAGGTGCAGGGAAGAGCACGAGCAGGAGGAGGAGGATAATGCGAGGATGCAGTGCCCGCTTCCCTGCGCTGAAGCCATCTTGGCTCAGACCATGTCACCGTGAGATCGAACCGTTTCACCCGCGGCGCCAGCGGCGATGGCTGCACTGGCGAGGCCTCCTTTCCTTCCTCCCTCCACCCTCCCTGTCTTGTCCTGCACAGGCCTGTTCCCAGGCCGCGGTAGCCACGGTTCCAGCCAGTCAGAGCAGTACCGAGCACGCCACCGCGCCAAGCCGTCGTCGAGCGAGAGCCTCCCTCGCGGGAGGGCCAAGTTCGGACATCGGCGGCCCTCCCGCGCGGCACAGGCGGGCCCCGGACCCCTCCTGGGGTTCCACCCCGGCCTGTGCTCCAGGCGGGTCCGGCCGTGGCGACGGGAGACGGCTCCCGGAGGCCCCAAAAGGGTCCGAGAACACCACGGCGGTTCGATGGCATTCGAGAACAGTACAAAAAACAGTAGGGGGGCGATGTTGTGATCATTGTTTGGCACTGTTTGGGCATGTTCTGTGTATGTTTAATTGGTCTGCCGAAGCCAGCCTGTGTGGGGGACATGCCCGACCTGAGCCCTGTTCCGATTCCCACCTATCTCCTCCTGCCTCGTCCTCCTTGGTCGCTGTTCTGTGCCCCCTTCGGCTGCGCGTCAGAGTGGCTGGCCGGAGTGACCTTGAGTGCGGGCCCACAGCGGTTCCCCCAGCACTGGCCTGCGCACTTGGATCCGACCCCGCCAGGCGGCCCCCGACTGCCGCGCACCACAGGTCACACCTGCCCAGGGTCCTTTTCACGTGAAGAGGACTCCTCCGCCTCGTCCTCCCCGCTCCCTCGTCCATGCCGTCTTGGTTCTCGTCTCGTCCTCGTCCTCCTGGTATGCTTCGTTCTCTCTCCACCAACTGTTTCCCCTGACGGTGCCTGTGCTGCTCGTCCTGCTGAGCGGAAGTCGGGCCTGTCCCTCTACAAGAGGAGTGCTCACAAAAATGGCAAAAAAGTAGTCCGGGACGATTTTCGATGATCCGTGACCATTTCCAATTTTTAATGGAGTTTTTTTTTCTTGGTTTGTTCATCATCCGAATTTTTTGTTGAGTTTTTTTTTGGGGGGGGGGGTCTCATCTTGACGTTCTGTTCTTGACGTTCTTTTCTTATTCTTGACGTTCTTTTCTTATTCTTGACCTAAATGTTTTAGTTGAGTTGTTTCCTGGGTTTTTCACCCCAACTCCGCCCGCACGGGGACGTGCCCGACCTGCTGCTGAGCAGTCGGCCTGCGGCCCTGGGCTCTCGCCCCGGGCGGGCGCCCGAGGGCTCTCCCGCCCGGCGGGCGCCCCGTGCTGGCTGGGCCGGCCGCCGCGGGCCTTCGGCCGCTGTGGCGCCCGTGGGCGCCGCGTGGGCTCCCGTCGGGAGCAGCCTGAAGTGCGGGGGCCACATGCGAACCCTGCCCCTACCCCCCACGGCTTCTGAGGGAGAGGGTGGGGTTCACAAGTCGTGGGGGGTAGGGGTAGGGTTCACATGTGGCTCCCTATCGTGGGCTCCCGTCGGGAGCAGCCCTGAGTCGGGCCTGTCCCTCTGCGGGAGGAAAATCCAAAACGGTAAGGAGTAGAGGGGAACAACAAGTGGCATAGACCTATAGACTCGGAGGTCCGCGCGGATTTCTCGGATCGGCGCTGGGCCCCCTCCCTGGCGCTCGGAGCGCGCCAGGGATGGCGGCAGAGGCGCACCAGCCAAATTCTGTCAATTGATGGGTGTTTCACGATGTTCAGCATAGAAGTGTTCAACATGACGGAAACAACCACTGGTGTGCAAGGTAGAGCTATGACAGGGCTTCTGGGCGCGCGCACTTCCTCATCACTCTCACCTGCTCTATCGGTATCCTCGTCGTCCTCGTCATCATCGACATTGTCACCATCATGACCATAGTCTTCACCATCATTGTCGCCATCACCATCGTCACCATTGTGTGGATCACTGTCATCGTCCTCTTCGTTGTCGTCGACCTCGTCATCAGCGCCACCATCACCATCGCCATCACCGATGCCGTCACCATCATCACTCGCCCGCCCGAGTAGAGGATCTGCATGAGAAGGATCAGCGTGACCATTCGCCAGTCACGAGTGGGTTGTGCAGAGCTCGAGCAGTGGAGTTGACGCAACCCCCACGCCGAGGCTGGACTCCATCGCACCCCGCCGCGTATTGTTTTCCCTACCTACGTGTTGTGTTCGGTCGCTCATACAAGGGTAGTATCGGTTCCCCACGCAACTTAGCCAAATCGTACAATGTGGTATCTGCGAGGTGTTCGAACCCACACGTTGCGCACGGCGCCATATGTAATATTACCATGATGCGGGCCTCGCGCGCGGCCCCCGCGCAAGAATGTCGAACTCGTGCCAACACCATTGGCTTTCTGAGCATTCCAAGATGGATCTCTTCAACTCCCGGTGAACAAGGCATGCCAGGCCTTTCGCCCGCGCGTACACATTCCATGTAGTCTTAAGAAGGCAATGTCTGCCCTACAATCCCTGTCACATAGGATGGGCCACACCGCGCGCATTCGCGCATGGAGAAACCACTCGGAATCCACACCGCATTTGCTAAAGCCATGAGTTACATGTGTACCACGTCAACCTTGTCAAGTGATACATGCGCGCCCCCCGCGCGCGAATGTCAGAACCATTCAACGTTGACTTAATGTGAAGCATATCAGTGTAGAACTCTTGCAACATGTTAAAGAGATGTCTATCACACTTCCCTCTAACAGCATCATCGCCCGTCCGCCCGATTTGTGTACTTGCATGAGAATGGCCCGTGCGATATTGTGTATCTGTTGGGAGCTACTCGCAATGTCTGACAGGTAACTGCACCCACGGCCTTATTGGTATTGTCACCGTGATGCGGGTGGGCGTATGGGAAGCTCTTGCGAGCATCGGATATGACGTGATCAAACGTTTCAAGTGCATTGCACCATAGTATGCACCACGCAGTTCAGGCCACGCAGAGTTCACCATATACAGATAGATACACACTATGTACACACGTATGTGTGTATACATGTAAGCACAGTTGCATATCTTGTATAAGCATCTGCCCCCCCCCCCCGCCCCCCGAGAAGCGCCGCACCCACCTCCGTGACATCGGGTCCCCTTTTTGATACCCCCTCCCCGGCGCCTCCAAGGGGCCCCACGAGGTCCCCGAGATGGTCCAAGAGGGCCCCGAGACGGCCAGAGATCGCTCCAAGACGCCCAAGATGGTGCCAAGACGGCCAAAGAGCCCTCCAAGACACCCCAAGAGGCCTCCAAGAGGCTTCCCGAGAGGGCAGACAGAGACAAAACTGGTTGGTTTTTTGATGGCGTTTGAAGGTGTTTGGGGTCCTCGCCTTTTCAGCTTCCCGACGCGGCAAGACGGCCCAATAGGCCCCCAAGGTCGCCTCAAGACGGCCGAAGAGGTCCCCAATACGGCCCGAAGATGCCCTAAGAGGGAAGACGGCCCAAGAGGCCTCCAAGAGGCCCAAGAACTCTAAGGAAGGGCCCAGACGGAGCATCCGACCGGACTTTTCTGGCCCTCGGCCCCAAGAGGACACCAGGAGGCCCCGCAGAAGCTCCTGGGAGGCCCCCAAGAGGACCCAAGAGGCCCCCGAGAGGCCCCCAAGAGGCCCCAAAACGACCCCGAACAGGCACCGAAACAGGCCCCAAGACGCCTCGGAACTTCTTCAAGGGAACACCCGAGAGACCCGCAACGAGATCCGAACAAACTCTCCAGATGCTTCCATGAGGAACCCCAGACGCCTCCATGATAGCTTGACGAACGCTCCAGAGGCTCCCAAGACGGCTCCACAACGACCCAGGATGCCCAGAAGACGGCCTTGGAGGCCGCCAAGATGGTCCACGATGGCCCTAAGATGGGCCCAAGGGTCCCCAAGACTCCTCCACGACGCCCCCAAAGGGCTCCCAATAGAGCCGTGTGAAGGGGGGACGCCGTGCGTATTCTGTCTCTGGCTTCGTTCGTGGAGCTCCGGTGTGGGGGGGGGGGGGTACGCTCCGTGTGAGGGGCGCGCCGCCCTTGGCGGCGCGCCGACCTCCACAGGAACAGAACAACGGGCTTCACAATTTTGTTTTGCAAGGTTTCCTGGTTCTCGGATTCTCGGGCTTTGGGAGGGATGCTGAGGACGAGGTAGGAGGTGAAGGAGGTGAAGGAATGCAAGGGGGGGCATATTGAAAGGAGCGGGGAAGACAGGGATGATGATGACGATGAGGAGGAGGAGGAGGAGAAGGAGAAGGTGAAGGAACAGGGATCCTCTTCAGAGAGACGCCGTCGAGCAGGAGGATGAGGATAGAGTGATAGGGGAGAGATAGAACGGAAAAGAGGAGGAGGGAGAGGGTACTGCAGTAGACCGGGATGATGACGGCGATGACGCTGATGATGATGATGATGATGATGATGATGATGATGATGATGATGATGATGATGATGATGATGATGATTATGCCGACGACGCCGACGACGAGTAATATGTTGATGATGCGGGTGGTGATGAGCCGCTGCTGATGATGATACAGATGATCATGATGCTGCTGATGATGCTGCTGATGGTGATGATGATGGTAAAAGACGGTGACGATGGTGATGATGATGTGTTGAAGATGGTGGTGGTGATGATGTTTGTGTTGGTGATGGTGAACATGACCATGACGACGACGATGAAACTGTGGGGGAGAGGATGACGACGATGACGACGATGATGATCCCAGCATGAAGTTGACCTCGCGCGAAGCGCGCGCGATGGTTCTAGTTCTGTATACCTATAGATATACATACATACGTATCAGAGTGAGGGGAATGAGCCGAACGGTCATTCACTGTCCCTGGGTGCGTGGCTGAAGTGGAATTCCGCGACGCGGTTTCTTGTTGTTGTTGTTGCTGTTGTTGTAATTGTTTGTTGTTGTTGTTGTTGTTGTTGAACATTATTACTTCTAAAGAATAATTATTGTTGGGACCCCTGGTGCACGGCCCCCTCGCCGCGCCTAGGCCGCAGCCATGTTTTCATCATTTTCGTGAGGAAGTCTCCGGCAAAACGGGTTGGTCCGGATCCGGTTGTTTTGTTACGGGCGGTTTTCCCTTGCAAAAAAAAAGGCAAAGTGGACATTTCTTGTTCTAACATAACCAAACTTCAAGAATCCCTTGCAAAAAATAAGGTAAAGTGAACATTCGCGCGCGCAAGACGAAATCCTTCCAAAACCTTAGTGTTCGTAGCGATTTTAACATAAAAACATCAAAAAACCAACGGTTTTTCAAAAAAATGTCAAAATTTCATCCCGCTCGCTCTTGCGGATTTGTAGGAAACCCAACCGTGCGTCGTACTGGTTTACCGTGGTTTCCTATTCTAGCGTCAGGAACACGTTACCACCAAAAACCAGTACAGGTGTCCAGTGTTGGAACAGGGGGAAAAGTCGTATACTAAGCTAGCGTCCAGAAAATGTTACCACAACAAGTCACTGTACCCATGCGCCAGTGAAGTAGCCACGGTCGTCCGCAGGCCACGAAGTGAAGTGTCCGAACGTCATAGGGCGGGAAGCTGGGTGTGGGTGGTGGCGAAGAGTCGTTTGGAAATTTGGTAGAGCTTGAACCGGCCCCCCCACAAAGTGGGGGTATTGCCCGCCTCCTATGAAAACCCTGGCACTGGTGAGAACGGAGTGTCCCCACGTGCTAGTAATTGTTGTTGTTGTTGTTGTTGTTGTTGTTGTTGTTGTTGTTGTTGTTGTTGTTGTTGTTTTTGTTGTCGTCGTCCCACCCGCGACCCACCCGCGCCCCGCGACCCACCCGCGACCCACCCCGCGACCCACCCGCGACCCACCCGCGACCCACCCGCGACCCACCCGCGACCCACCCGCGACCCACCGCGCGCGCCCCCCCGCGCTCGCGACCACCTCCGCGACCCACCCGCGACCCACCCCGCGACCCACCCGCGACCCACCTGCGACCCACCCGCGACCCACCGCGACCCACCCGCGGCCCCCCCGCGACCCACCCCGCGACCCACCCACCATTTTCGGCGCCCGCGTCGGGTTTCTTTTGATTTCGTTCCAGGTGGAGAACCTGCGACCCACCCGTGACCCAAACCGCGTTCAGTGTACAAATCATTATTTTCGGCGCCTGCGGCGGGCTGTTTTTTGGATTTCTTTCAGGTGGAGATGGAGAGCCTGCGACCCATCCGCGACCCAAATTACGTTCACTGAACAAAGCAAAACTTCGGCGCCTGCGGCGGGCTTCTTTTGCATTCGTTCCAGGTGACCTGCGACCCAGACTGCGTCCAGTGTACAAATCAATATTTTCGGCGCCTGCGGCGGGCTGTTTTTGAATTCCTTCCAGGTGGAGGTGGAGAGCCCGCGACCCACCTGCGACCCAAACTACGTTCACTGAACAAACCAAAAATTCGGCGCCTGCGGCGGGCTTCTTTTGCATTCGTTCTGGGTGGCCCACCACCCCGCCGCGCTGAACTTGTCAGAGCACGCAAATCGGCGCCTGCGGCGGGCTTGCTCACATTTCTTTGGGAACGCGTCCTCGTGCCATTCCCCCGGTCCGGCCCACGTTGACTCTACAACAGCACATCGGCGCCTGCGGCGGGGCTGTGCCTGAACACGTTCATTGACAATCCAGTTGCCTGTTGCCGCGGAGGAGGGGAGGAGGAGCAGGGCGAGGAGCAGGAGGTGGAAGACGACGACGACGACGACGACGACGACGAGCACGAGCAGGAGCACGAGGACGAAGAGGAGGCCGACGACGAGGGCGAGGATGAAAAGCAAGGGGGGGACGGAGGGGGACGACGAGAAAGGAGGGAGGAGGAGGGGAAGGAGGAGGAGGACGACGACGACGGAAAGGAGGAGGGGGGAAGATCAGGATGGGGGATAAGAGGAGGAGGAGGCGGAGGAGGAGGAAGAGGAGGAAGAGGAGGAAGAGGAGGAAGAGGAGGAGGAGGTGGAGGAGGAGGAGGCGGACGACGACGACGACTACGATGAGGACGAGGCCGCGGACGAGGAAGAGGAGGAGGAGGAGGAGGAGGAGCAGGAGGAGGAGGAGGACGCCATCGACAGGGAAGGTGAGGGCAACGAGGTCTGCCGACTCGACGCCCGCGTCGCCCGCGCCCGCCACCTCACCCTTATCCGCAATTGCGGGGTGCTACGTACATACATTTCACGCACAGTTTGCCCCGCATAGATGTACCACATACGTCAAACTATGCACGTACCGCACCGTACATGTTACATCTGGAAATAGCCCCACGCAGTTTGCACACGCCACGCATTATAACACATAGGCTGCACGACATGCAACAAGCCACTCCAAGAGCGTCGCTGGCAAACATTTGTCATCATCATGTACCCCTTTCCTACCTCCTCCCTCCTCCTCCGTCTCGTTCCCTCCTCGCTCCTCTGGTGACCGGAACTTCGTGTCGCCGTCCATCTTTCGTCGTCGCCCCTCTGCCTTATCCTTCGGTTTCTTGCTGGACACCGTTTTCGGTAATGCGTTCCAAGGGCGGCCTTCGGTGCATGAGAACGCTAGCCTTCGGCGTAGCCCTGGAGTCGACCCCCGCCCCGAGCCTGACCCCTTTTTTCTTGCTGTTCCGTCCGAGCCTACGTTTAGGTCTGCAGCTGACCAAGACAAGAGGTTTTTTCGGAGCTCTGATCCTGGTCTGGGTTATCCACCCACACCTCTTTGAGCATTTCTTTTGTCACTCCTGCTCCCTACTCCATCCTCCCCTCTCTTCATCCCTCCATCCTTGCCACCAGTAGTTGTTCGCGTGTGCTGCCCGTCTCAGGCTCCGTGCTGGCGGATGCGGCGCGATTCCACTGCAGCGTTTCCCGGCGTCCTGTTTTCACTTTGCTGCTGCCTTGAGCAGTCTGCTGCACTCTGCTCCCATGCCATCGTTGCGCGCGCGCGCCTCTGTCGCGCTCGCGCCACGCATTCGGCGGTAGCCTGCCCACCTTTTATTTGCCAGAGGGCGACCGCTTGGTTCGCAGCCCATGTTTGGCTTGCTTCAGCCACGCGCAGAGGGGGGTGGGGGGGGGGAGGGGGGAGGGCTTCTTAGAAGCACCCCTGCTTCTTAGGAGGCGCGGGCCTTGTCTATAGATGTAAGGCCGGCGCCTTCTAAGAAGCAGCCTCCTTCTAAGAAGCCCCCCCCCCTCCCTCCACCCCCTTGTGCGCGCCGCCAATTGCTGGGGTCTCGATGTGAGAGGCGGCAGTTGCCCCGCTGTGCGAGTCTAGGGTGCTTGGATCGGGCCTGGCAGGCAGTGTGGGGCTGAGCTTTGCGAGTTCCCTCTCCTTCTCTGCCCCCCTTCCCCTCTCCAACAGATCCTCCCGCTGTTCTTCCCAATGTTCTTCTTGGTCCTCTTCCTCCTCCCCCCTCCCCCTTGCGTTCAGTCGGACCTGTCCCTCTACAGGAGGAATCTCCCAAAAGAGTCAAACCATAGTCGGGGGAACGATGTTTTGGGTCGTTGTGTTGGCATTTTGGAGTGCATTTTTGAGTCTTGTTCATCTCTCGTCCAAAACCCGCCTGCAGAGGGCCAGGCCCGACTTGACCCTTGCGAGGGGTGCCTTCGTGGCGGTGGCGTGCATCCGCGCGGCGTCGGGCCTGAACCTCCGGGCCGATGCCGACGCCGGCGGCAACCTCTCCTCCGAGGCCAGGCTGCCTCCGCGCCTCTCGTCGCCGTCGCCGAGGCTCTGTGCGATCGACCGCAGACGCGCTAACGGCGATGCAGGTAACGGCGGAGGAGGAGGAGGAGGAGGAGGAGGAGGAGGAGGGCGAGAGTGGCGAGGGCGAGAGAGGCGGCGTTGGGAGCGTCCCTCTACAGGATTGTATCTGAATAAGTCCTATCACTATTTGAAGAAAGATTGGAGACATAGTCAGGGGACGATGCTTTGAGCATTTGTTGGCAACTTTGGAGTATGTTTTTACTATCTTTGTTTTTCGCACAAAATACGCCTGTATGGGGGACATGCCCGACCAAACCGTAGACGCGCTAACAGGTAACGTCGATGTAGGTTTCGGTGTTGTGGGAACGCCCGGCTTGCGCTTTCCTATAATTCGATGTGTCGTTTTCGTTCCACACATCCGCAGATCGGAAATGCAGGGAAGTGTGGTTCGTGAGTTCCAACATTTCGGTCTAAGCAACATCGCCGTCAGCGTGGCCTTGGATCGATATAGAGGTGCGGGAAGACTGAGGACGAAGCCCTACAGCAATTTTGTGTCCATTCTGGTCGGAGTCGCTGCCTAACAGTAGCCGCTGTCGGACTTGAACAACATGTGCTTTTGGGCATCGTGTCCTTTTAGTCCATACCCATGTCGGCCGTGCCGATAAGGGGTGGAAGGAGGAGGGCTTCTCCTTCATCACCCTTTCGCGCTTCTCGCCAGATGTCGGACAGTGGGGTCGTGTTTTGTACCCTCTGGCGCGTCGCAGTCGTCACATGGGCCAATTCCCCCCCTCACCCTCCCAGGGCAACGGTACTGTTACGGAACAGGAGGCACATTCAAACATAGTGAAACATAGTCGCGGGGCGATCTCTGGAGTATGTGACCATTATGGTGCATGCTTTGAGTATTTTTGATTTTTCACCCCAAATCCGCCTGTAGGGGGACATTCTCGACCTCACGCTAACAAGCGTGCGCAGGGGGTGGGCCCGGACCTTCCACCCCCCATGTTGGCCCTTCGCGCGCGCGCACCGTGGCGACCGCAGCGCGCCCCCCCCCCCCACGACGTTCCCCACTCCGCCCGAGCGGCACCGCTCAGTCGGGCCTGTCCCTCTGCAGGAGGCATATTCAAAAATGGTGAAATCATAGTCAGGGGGCGATGTTGTTTTAGTATTTGTCTGTCTATTTGTAGGGTATTTTTCTAGTATTTGCAATTTGTCGCCCAACATCTGCCTGAGGGGGGACATGCCCGACCTAAGCCAAGCGTTACCGTTACCCTGCCCCCCCCGTTTGGCCAGTCATAGTCATTTTGTTTCGGGAGATCCCCACCGAAACCTCAGACGTTTGTTCCCAGCGGTGAGCACGTCGCCTTCGAAATGTTGCGGATTATTGTGTATTGTGATGCTGTGTTACGGCGTGATTTGTTTTGCCATGATATGTCATGTTATGGCATGGTCTATCATTTTATGTCGTGGTATGTTATGGTGTGCTGTATGGCATGTTACGATGTGAGGTATTATGCTCTGTTATGTGTGATATCTGATGTCATAGTTTATGGTATTATGTTATGGTATGTTCTGCTATGGTGCCCCCTCGGGTCATGGTAAACACATGACAGAGTTTTTCGCAAGTTTCGTTCTCTGGGAGCCTTTATCTGGCCTCGGCACCGTCGAAAACGACTCAGGATGAAAAACCCGTCCCCGTTGAGAAGGGGTCCAGACCTACGGGGGATGACAATATCATGACGTCGGATATCCGGGACAGCAGAGAATACAAGGCCCTGGGGGAGATGAGCATTGACATGGCGGCCTGCGCTGCCCAGATTGGCGCGGATGACCTGGTCATGTCCGACCTGGTCCAGGCGGTAGGGATGGGCAACCACTCCTTGGATACCGCTGAGGCCTGGCGAGCCTACCAGGACAAGCTGGCAGCTCAGCTGCGAGAGGATCATCCGGAGGGCCAGCGGAGCCGCCCATTCAGGACATTGGTGGTCTCCGCTGTCCATGACAAAGAGTGGATGGTCGAGATATTCCATGCCAACATGAAGCGGTTGATGAGCAACAAGGCTGGAGACGTGTTCGAGTTTGCGCTCTTCCACATTGATAGCTCGACCGAGGAGTGGAGCAAGCACGAGTGGTACAGGGACGAGACCGGACCGGTGATGTTGAAGCACCATGGCGCTGGGTGCA